CCTCCCCCGCAGCGTACTTTCACCAACCTAACGGTTCTGGCCCTCGTGTTAACGACGCCACATTATGTCACATTTATTTGACTCCAACCTATAAGGCAGCGTTGAGCCATTATTGAGAATATTTTGAAAATGTCCGTTCCTGTAAATTACCCCCAAAACAATGAATGATTTAAAAACTCACAGAGCTTCAACTCAGAGCAAAGGGACAGACGTTTCTTTAATTTGGAAAATATCCATTCCATGATTTACGCGCTACACCAAACGGACAGACAGACACACAGACAGACACACAGACAGACACACAGACAGACACACAGACAGACACACAGACAGAAACACAGACAGACACAGACAGACACACATGACAGACAGACCAAACCCCAAAAAAGGAGTAATTTTGGCTTCTAAATGTAGTAAAATATTTCTAATATAATGTGTAGTTAAAATGTTCACTTTATGAGTTCTTGATAGCGAAAATTCTGCTTATATTAAATCTTCTGTGTTTGGGTGTGAACAACGCTAACAGCTAACTATATTGATATGTGCGATATCGCTGCCATTTGTAATATTTGAAATGTGTAATTTTATTTTGAAGGGTACTTTACTTGAAGTTTCAAGGACATATTTAAAATTGTCTCAAAAACCGCTGAAAAGTTTTGGATTATTGTTCAATTTTTATTTGCCTGATTTTTTTAAAACTTGAAAGTCTTTATTTTTTTCTGCGACTCCCACTATCTGCAATATTTAAGATACACAGTTTGTATTTAATTAAAAATATTCTTCATAATATGAGTAGTTTGTGTAAGTGAACATTTTTGCAATAATGATTCGTTGTTTTTTTTCCTTCTTTTTTCTCAGGTATTGTAAAGTACGTTCATAAAAATGACACCGGTTTGATTTTCGTTCAATTTCCTGAATTTTCGAAAATTGCCAAAGTTGAAAATAAAGCAAAACGTATGTGTTAGTACTACTAGTTTTGGCTCTCGTTCGTGGAATATAATAGTCTTGTTGGTTTTCAAACCGCCCCTCTGCGGACAGACGTAGAGATTTTTTTATCAGGAAAAGTCACACTAAAAAACTAAATTTTTGTCTGTGCGCTTTTAATTTTGAAATAGAAACACATCATAAACTCTACTTAATCACAAGAAATGCTTTCGACTAATATTATTGGATTTTTGCCGCCATTTAAAAAGGATACTTTATTTCTTATTACTAAATTTTGGATCATTTAGCTTAAGAATTATATAAATCACTTTAACTGCTGTGCGCACTTTGGTCGGATTAATTTATTTAATTTTTCTTTTGATTTTTATTATTTCCATGAAGAGAAATTTGACTAGGAGATATACAAATCTACAACAAAAGAAGAAAATATTTATTACTTTTTACATTTCAGAAAGTTTCTTTTGAAATATACAAAGCAAAATATAATAAAAACAATATAACTGTCATTCTATTTCGATCCTGTATAGAATTATAGTATGTGTATCTACACATGACATGCGAATACTTGCAGTTCATTCGTTTTTCTGTAATGAAATCTGTACTTCGTCTCTGATGTTTAGTTGACCTTGGGCAATGCACTTGAGAATGTGACTGCAGTGCCTGTTACATTAAATCTTTCCCAACACACCGCGTAAGTCAGATAGTCAATTTCATGTTCGCAGGGGCCGCATGCATATCAATGGGAGGATAAGTGCAAGGAACATATCGAAAAAAGCTTTTAAAGTTCAGAAATGGAGTTGGCAGTGGCTGGAAGACTAACTTCTATTAAACGACTACATTCTTATTACGGTATGAGGTAATTGGTACGATCATCATTTTTTTAACTCTCAGATTTATTAAAAGTTAATCAAGTAACGTTTTTGATACTACATCTTTCTTCACATTAAGAAGTCAATTACTTCACACATGAATTTTACTACACATATGAATTGCTAGATAGGAAGTAGTGTTTTACCCAGAGAGAGATAATGTTGAAGGTTTCTATGCAGTCGGTGAACTCTAATGGTTCTCCCCTTTCCAGATTAATGAACATTTCACAACAATGCAACAATTAATATATTGCTCATTAATTAAACCTTAGTACACTCTATTTCATTTGAAAGTTAACAGAAAAATTTCCACGAAGTTGGGAACGTCACTAAAAGTACGTCTTGAAATTCAATTTTCTTATTCTGAATTAAGCCTTTAAATTACTGTTCTTGAAACAATTACACAACTATTAAAAATATTAATGGAAAGGTACCAAAAAGTGAACATATAAATGTGTTGATAATCATAAGATTTTCAAATGGAATAGATAATGATCAAAAAGATCAAATGTCAATCGTTTACAAACTGTCGCTTGTATGACAGGTTTCATAACCTCAATTGGCTCTTCAACGAGATCCATCTACATAGATAAGGGTCATCTGTCAACAAGAAACTGCTACTAGAAGTGACACACTTGAGACTCAACCGATACAGAATGTTAGTTGCGAATGAGTATTAGGATGTATGGACAGATTGGATGAAAAGTAGAAAGGTTTTATTTTAATACCAATTACTGGTATTATCACAGAGAATAACATTCTCTTTTTCAGCGTGTTCAACGACATCAAAACCTGTTTACACATTTCTGATAGATATTTCAAAGTAATTTGATTGAATTTTTGTGTATCAAAAAGTGTTTTTCCCTTTTTAATTAAAAAAAATTGCTTTCGAAGTATTCGTTACTGCAACAATAGTACGGAAATGCTTTATCGATAATTTTGTTAATTTTGATCTCAATGAAACGTTTCGTCTACTATTATTTTTTTTTCGTTTCAAGATATAGATTAGTATGATATACTTTTGATATTACTTAATGTACATAATTTCACATCATACAACTATTTTTACGAAATAATATTGATGACCTACCTTTAAAACAAAAGTTTCGCAATCATGGTTCTTCGTAGTTTATCAATTCATTGCCTTGCCAGCTGAGAACCGACAACAAAGTCACAGACACTCGCTCACAAAAAGAAAAGTTCGTAATGAAAACCAAAAGGAGAAAACAGTCCAGTGTTTTCTTCGCGCACAAAAACCTCGCGGCAGCGGAGCTGCATCTCAGCGGCGCACAACTCGTGCGGAGGCCAAGGAGCACGCGGCCTAGCGAGGCGCGGCGCCGGGCGCAGACTGTGGCCGCGAAGCCTCGGGCGCCCACGCCCCGCGCAGCCGCGCGCGCCCCGCTCCGGGGCGCATGCGCAAAACGCTGCGAATCTGCGAAGCGGTGGAACACAAGATACAAGGCAACAGCGAGGCGCGCCCGCAGAAGAGGAACGGAGCGATGACGAGACGAGCGAGAAGAGGAGGTTTGATTGATTGATTAGTGATTCCCAGTGCGTGAACGGCTAAGGTCACTAGTCCCGTAAGAGCTGTGCGTGGTTTCATAGCGAGAGGTGGCGGTGACCTTTCGTCACTTGATGGTGAGATCCGGAGCCGACCTGCCGCCGGATAACGGGGTTTCTCTCAAACAGGTATCTCCCACCACCGGCGCACCGCTCCAGCCGGGATAAGCTCTAGGTAGAGGAGGTTCGACCATTCAAAGGTGATAAGTGATGATCGTAATTACAGAAAATTGGTCATTGGAAGAAACAAACGAGGAATGGTGTAGCCCATAGATTCCCAGCGGGAGCGATACCCCCCCCCCAGCAGTGGGTGCTTTAGACTTCCATGAGGTGGATCCAGAAGCAAATGCGGACACCTACCTAACCTTATAAGCACCGAAATATTTTTAAAATATTAATCAATAATATTAAAAAATAATTATAATATAGCTTACTGTAAACATAATTATAGTAATTTTACTGCCGTTTATTTTGTTGTTTTGTTAATTTCTACTTTATGATTTTTAATACACAGGTGTCCCACCAACTATGAGCACCCTTATGACTTCTAAACGGTCCATGATATCGAAAGACTGTTTTCGATCAACATTGCGGAATCATAGGTACAAGTAAGAAGCTGTAGAGATAACGTGTAAAACATGTTTAGTGTTCGACAAATTTAATAATCTTCGATTTTTTCTCGCCGGCAATTGATAGATCATTAAAAAGGAATGAAATGATGTATCAAAGGTTAATATTTTGATAGTAATTTTAGTGTGAAATTCTATTTTCTGACGTGTGATTTTAAATTAAACGACCAATATTTCCTGCGCAGCCCTTGCAACTGTCGCCTCTGAGGACGGTGGCTTCTGCTGCGCCGGCCCTTTTGCGGGGGGAGGGGACGTCGTGAAGGGCGCTTCCCCCAAAGGTCACAGTCGCAAGGGCTGTTAAGGAAATACTGCCCGTTTCATTTAGAAAGTCTAATTTTATACTCAAAATTTTATCGAAACTATAACATATGTTACATCATTGCATGGCTCTTTTTATGATATATCTATTGCAGACAAGAAAAATACACGGTTCAAAAGATCAAAGATAATTAAATTTACCGAAAACAAAGAATAACAATATCTTAACAGTATATTATCTACCCCATAATGCTGCATTGTTGAGCGAAAACTGCATTTCGATATCGTGAACTGTTTACAAGTTATGTGGGTAGTTCATAGTTGGTGGGACTCCCTTCATAAATAGAGGAAATGGTTACAGACTAGCTGAGCCCGTACATCGCACAGAAGGAAGTTAAGCAGGAAAGTTAGGAGATGAAATACTGCATATCTCTGAAATTATATTAAGTTTTAATAAAATTATCTGTTATGGACTACGGCACGTTGGACTATGGATTTTATTTTTCTACAAGCGATGCTCCAGAAAAGGTTGGGAACCTCTGCTGTAACTGAAATGGTCTTTAAAAGATGTCCCTGAGGCAGCACTCTAAGAATGAATTTCCCTGATGAAATGATGAAACGAGGGAAGAAAGAAAGAAGGAATTCTTCGTGAAGAACAAGAGCAAAAAAGCAGGATCGTGGTATATAAAGCATTTGAACGAATGCATTGAAAGAACAAATAAAGAAGACAAAAAAGTATCTTGTTTTTCTATTTCACACTTGCATGATTAACAATTCAGTGCCGGATTTCCAAGGGCAAAGCAATTGAGACAGGTACGTTCGTGCTGATGCTTCTGAAGCCGGGAGATTGAAACGCTCACACCTTACCTCCATAGCTCCATAGCTTCGCGTTAATTACTTTCATTTCATGGCAGTGGTTCGCTACCAGAAACAAAACAGGGGAGATTTTGCTTACGGCGGCCTCTTGATCTCGAGGTTAACTTTACACATTACATTGCATTTCTTAAATATTTTAGGTTTCGTTTCTTCTACGCAGTCTCATAATTTTGTGCAATCTTTTTTCGAATTAAAATTTTAATCACAAATGTTACTAGTGTATACTAATATATACTCCTCTAGTACGTGAGTGTCCTTACTACTCGCTACTTGCTACTCGCTACTCGCTACCCGCTACTTGCTACTCACTGACTTCGTCTTTCTTCTAACTTGTTACGATAAAGTCTTTAGTCTCATATCATACCATCCATAACACTCACTTGACGCCGCAGGTTCCAAGGGAGCTTTGACCTCAGAACAGCTTAGAGCGTCGGGAAATCTGACGCTCGTCATTATAGCACCGCAGCGTATTGAAACCATCTGCATGCCCCTCTGCTTGGCCGATCATGAAGTCGCCCAGGCCCCAGTAAACGTTAGCCTCTCGTTTCTTATGTATGCGATCTATTCGATCGCATTTTCGTCCTTTCAACAAACACGAATTATGACGATGACTACCTTTACGGTAACGGATTAGAATTTCGAGTTACCGCCAGGAGCTTACACAGGTGCGAGAGTAATACGTTCTGCCATAGAATAGCTTCTACTTGTGGCTAATGTTAATGACTGTGCGAACTTTTCCCGGTTTCTTACCAGGTTCATATGACCGTTCTTATTAGCGTACAAATCACACATGCTCGCGACCACTCTCGTTAATTACCGACTCTGTTCTTTTGCGACCACTCTCCTTAATGTTTTAATCTCTTCTCTCAATTTGCTTCCCTACGTAACGCCATCAGTTTATCTTAGCCCTTCTTTCTAGACCCACTAAGACTTCTCCCTCTCTCCTCCTGCTCCAAGAGTATATTTCTTTTCATTTTATTTTTATCAGGTATTTGATAGATTGATATTTTCAAAGACTTGTAATTGCATTTAATAAATGTAGTAGACAACGAAGTTCATGAGCTAATAATGTAGGCCATGAGCTTCGTTGTCTATGCGAATTCAAAATAATATAATTTAAAAAGGTCGTTGACCTTGATGTTGAAAGGCCTTTTGAACACTGGTCCGTCAATACGCAATTCATGAGTCTGCAGCATATTTCATGTGTTATTCGAAA